TTATGGTTTGCTTTGTTAAGCCATCCATCCATCCATCCATCCATCCATCCATTCTATCAGGGTTTGGTACTTTTCTCTCAGAATAATTGATTCTTGAAATAAGTTTTAACTATTTTATTGAACTGATCACTAACAGATCATAGAACTGTCCATCCAGGACTTGGTTCAAATTTATCAAAAATAAACTGTTAATCGCTTCACCCTTTCCAATTATTAGTCCAATCCCCAATGAGTAAAGTAACTATTTATTGTAGCCATAATTCAGTGCTCTATCAGGCTAAGTTTCAGTTTTATAATTTCCTTCCTGGTTCCTCGTTTGCCAAATGTAGGTCCCTTAGTCGCTGGGCGGACCAAAGACTTTGTGCAAAGGATTCTGGATGCCAGCGCGAGTGGTCAGAACCAGCGGAAGGAGACTGTGCAGACCGGAGGTCAGACCACGGGTTAAACCACCCAGCACCTGTCGGCTCTCCCATCCCAGCACCACCTACCTACCTGGCCAAGCTTTCTACACCTCAGCTGCTCTCCCGTCGTGCACATCAGAGCGAGAGCGTGAGCGGAAGTCAGTGCGGGAGCAGGTTTCCGCCCTGCTCCTGCTTCCCTACCGTCGGATCTCCTTCAACAGCAGCCGTGTTCAGCACCCTGTCGCTGCAGGCTGCACCACAAACACCACCAGGCTAGAGCTGCTGCTGATGTCTCTACTGTGTTCAGTCCGTGTGTGTGTGTGTGTGTGTGTGTGTGTGTGTGCGTGTGCGTGTGTGTGTGCGTAACATACTGTATGAGAGTGTATAGTGCTCCTCCTCCCCTCTGTGCTGTATTGTATCCCATCGTGCCTATGAATAGACATTGCACTGTTTTGTAGATGGTTGTAGTTGTTGGCAGGGGCCCGGTAGTGAGCCGAGGGCGAGGGGGCATCTGAGGACAGAGGAAGTTTTAAAAACAAGAAAGAGGGAGGAGCCCGGTGTGGGAAAACAAAGAAGTAGATGTGTTCTCTCCTTCCTCCAGGCTCCCATGCAGTCGCTGCATCGGGCGCCGTCCTGCGTGTTAAAACACGAGACCCGCCCGATGAGCGACTCACAGTAAACGGACACAAAGGCCCGTTTGTTAAAGAAGCCTAAACCCTCTCCCCCCGGTTTCTTTCTGATCATCTCCACCCATCAAAATGAAACCAAGGCGTAAAAACGAAAGTGAAAACGGCACCTTAGACCGAACTGACCAAAGACAAGCGAACTACTGTAACACTCCAAAATCACCACCGCCTATGTTAAAGAAAAAGAAACAAAAAAACCTTTGATTGTTGTCATGGTTGCTGTAACTACAGTATCACCGTGCAGCTGAGGGGAAGCCTGAAACTCTGACAGTTTTTCTGCTTTGGCTTCAATGTATGGAGTTAATTTTGTTCCATTGTTGTTGCAAGCAGAGAAAATATTTTGTAAATTGAAATTTGAAAGAAAATTAAAAGCAGAAATGAAACTTTGAAAAACGTTGGTTTTGAAAGTAACTTTGCTGTCTCTCAGATGTTTCTTTTCAAATTTATGTTTCAGATTTTTTTTTTTTTTGCACAGATTTTAGATTTTCTCTATAATTTTTTAAAATATTAAGTTTTACAAATGTTTTTAGTTTTAAATTCCGTTTTTCAGATCACATTCTCTTCACTTTAAGCCCAAAACAAACACATTGACCAGTAAAAATGCTGTTGCTAACACTCAGCACGCCAATAGAAAAGCATCTTTACTCCTCACTTCAGAAAATGTAATCTATAAAACACGATTTGAAAAGAAAGACATTTGAACAACTCAAAATGGAGAAAACTTTATTTTTAATATAACATCCATAAAAAAAAATGGAAAAGATTCCCTTTAGAAAAAAATAAAACATGAAATATAAAATTAAAGATAAAAGTTTGAAAAACAAAAATCTAAGAAAACAGCAAAGTTTTCATTTCTGGATTGCATTTTTAAATTACATTTTAAAAAATATGTTCTTTGCTCACAACAATAATGAAACAAAATTCACGCCGTACATTTAGACTCATAAACGGGGATAAAAAGTTTCCTGGATGCCCTCCTCCCGCCCTCCGCTCGCCCCCTGACCTTATTATGTAGCGCAACTTCCCGAACTGCAATGACCAATAGAGGAAAACACTCGTAGATCTAGATGCAAATAAGTCTCTATTTTTGGCTTCTGTGGATGTTCTGATTCTGTTGTGCTTTGGATGAAGCAGCAGCCCACCAAGTGGGTGCTGCTTTTGAGAATTTCTTTTTTTTATTATTATTATTCTGCCTTTGTCTGTGGTCTTTGCTGTAGACCCACCTGTCCAAGCTCTCTAAAATTATTGGACACAAAAAAAGATAGTCAAGGACCCTTTGAATTGCACTGTGGTAAGAGCAAATAAGCACCTTTAAGGAGGGTTGGAAATCCTCTAAAAAAAAAAAAAAAAAAGTAAAAAGACTCTTGTCACCTTTCTGTAAAGACAGATATCCATCAGACTTGAAGGTGCCTGCTGCTTCAGAGCGAGGAACATGGTTTGGGTTTGTCTCAGTATGGTGCTACTTTATGATGAAAAACATCAGTAATGCAAATTCTCATGGTGGCAACTGCTGACTGGGTTTTAGTCCTGCGAGCGGCTGCTGTTAGTGGCGGTTTGCTTGCTTAATGATGCCTTTCTGAAGTGCCTGGAGCTTAAAGCCACTGAGACCTGTGTTATTACAGCGGATTTCTGTTACACGGTAAAACTTCACCTATGATTGTTGGGCCACACAATGTTTCTGAGCAGGGAGAGGGAACTGCATAATGGTCTGGTGCCCTTTTCAAACCGCAAAGAAAATCTTTTATGCAACCTTTTCCTGCCGAGCAGCACACACCAGGCTCTGCAGCGTCACCTCTGGAAAATATGCTAGTGAAGGCATTTCCTTTCCTTCCTGGTTGGCGCTCCCTTATAGGCTTTCTACATCCTGATATGAGAGCAAAGAAATGTTTCATGGAAAAACTTTTTACTTTCTGCTGGTTAATAGTATGAAATATTTCTGTGAGAAGAAGCCCAAATGTTTTCCCGCCCAGTATGTCCCAAAATAAGCCATTTCTATGGAGTGAAGCTCTATTCAAAAACAGAAGCACTCACTGAGGAAGATGGTGCCAGAGTTAGGGCCCTGTCACACCTTACCGATTTAGCCAGCGTACGCCTGACACCCCAGAATCTTCTAAAACGCTGGCATATGCTGAACTTTCTACGCATTTTTTCAATTTCGGGTGTAAAGAGTATTCATAACGAGTCAAGAACTTATGTCTAATGTCCTGAGGGGGGCAGCAATGTGCCTGGAGTCTGCATAAAAAGATTAATTTGATTGCGGTATTGACCTAGCTGCTGTTTATGGCCTGTCAAAAAAAAAAAAGAATAAATAAAGAGAAAAATAAACTTCCTAGCTAGCTGCTAGGAGCTTTGGTGGTCGTGATCGCAGAGAGGATCCATCACACTCCCCTCTGGCTCACCCTATGATGGGGATGAAGTCTGGAGGAGAACTGACGTTTTCCTAACCTGACTCCGCTAGATGGATTTGCTGGATTTGCTCCGCATATCCATCTGGAAACCTTCCGTTGAAGTAATTTTGGGAAGGGGCGAAAATACTGGTTAGCTGATTGGCCTATGTTGGTGATAGACGGGCCAAATAAACCAATCAGATCAACGAAGCATATGACGTACTAACAGAGTGACAACGAAAACACAACCACAAGCCAGAGTACTCTTGCTGCTCTTGCCGAAACCAGTCGGGAGAAGAGCAAAAACATCTTTTCCTCTGAGAAAAGCCTCCAGAGCAGTGTTTTGCTCTTCTTTCAGTGAAGAAATACTCTGTAATTCCGATAAAACTTGCTCGATAGCCACGCTAACCCTAGTTTCATCGGCTGAAGCCGCCATGTTCTTTAGACTGAACTTTCGCGCTTTTCTTTGCGTCACACCTCAACCCGCCTCAAAGGCAACGCTGATTGGACGTTCGTTTGGTGAACGGCTCCAAATTTTGTTTAACGGAAAGTTGCCAGCCTGATCTGCGAGTGAAACCTTGAAAGCTCGCGAGATCAGGATGGTCTCACGAGGCTAACGTTTTCCTCCTGTAAACCCCCTCCATATCAAAACGCTGCCAATACACCATTGTAGCTGGATGTTAGAAACACGTTCAGCGCTCGTCTGGAACCTGTCAGATACGTTGATATGCGTTGGAGAGAAGTTCTTAAAAAGTTACGCAGAAGTTATGCACAAGTTACTCAGAGGTTTAGGATCAGCTAGACGCCACGACTTATGAGTAACTTACAATTAACGTGTGTCAACGTTCAGATAACTTACCTGTAACTTATGGCCAACGTATGGCATACGCCGACATACGTCGGGAAATTTCGAGTATGCTCAAAATTTCTCAACATATGTATGTTGGCGTGTGCGGGTGTGATTCAGCGTGCTCATAACTTTTACAAAACGTACCCAGAACGTATCCAACCCTCGTACGTCAGGAATACGCTGGCTAAATCATCAAGCTGTGACAGCGGCTTCAGTTACCCCCTCACCAAGGTTATCATCCTTAATTAAAACTAATGAAATGACAAAAACTAAATAGAGAATTAAATGAAAATTAAAACTAGACCTTGAAAAAAATGAAAAGTAACTGAAAATTTGAGAATATTTTTAGTTTTCGATTGATAATGCAGTAAATATGAGGTGAAGTTTCCAGCAGCCGTACAGCAGTCTGGTCATTTGTGTTGCTGCAGCAGTTTGTCCTTTTTTTTTAAGTCCTAAAACCTGGTATGTAAGTTATATCACATAAAATAATAAAATTATAACTGAAACTAATAAAAACTAAACAAAACCTGCTAGCTATTACATTATATAACTGGACATGCTAGCTTTACTATGCTAGCTATAAATGAAACTGTAATAGAAGTTAAAATGAGAAATAAAATCTAAATACCAATAAAAAAAATGAACATTTTGAAACCATTTAAAACTTGCTCAATCCAATCTTTACTGCCAACGTTTTAATACGGCATTAAAAGCACTTTTAAAATCAAAATGTAACTGATATTTTGACCTCAGACAGTGTTGACTTTTTAAACTCATTTGAAGCTGTGGTCAATTTATTTAAATATGATTTCAAGGAAATATTTACAAATTGACCTTCTGTTGAAAGGTTCTAAACCTTTCATATTTAATCTGCAGTGGATTACTCTCTTGGCTTCTTTCAATCCAGATTAGCTAGTCCACAAAACCCCTCAAGCTAATCGCTAGTTAGCTTGTAGCTCTAGCTAGTTTTTAAGACTTCCACCGTCTTTAAAAAAAACATTCGTTAATACAAATGCTAGATGCTGTAAACTTTTTAAGCTGTTACTATTGGATTAGTTGTGCATTTGCAGAGGCTAATGTTATATTTACACAGGAAAGGAAGGTTGCACTGGAAAAATTTGAAATCTAGATGAGTCATCTTTTCTTAAAATGATTTGTTCTTGGATTGAGGAGATAAAAGAGACAGTTTGCCAATGAAACAAAACAATTTACACTTAAAACAAGAAAACACAATTGAATATTTTTAAGTAAATATCATCTAATTATCTTATTTTAAGAGTAAATATACTAATTCAATTGGCAAACTATCATTTACCGACTCAAATTAAGGGTAAATAAGACATTTTTACTTATTTCTAGATTGTTTTTCTAGTGTGGAGGCAGTGCATCACCAATGATCTGAGCAAAAATCAATCAAAATCAGCAAAATTTGTAATTTCCGTTCGACTTTTCCTGCAGTTTCTATGAACTCTACTTTTCTAGCTTAAATGACTGTAATAGGAGACGATCTGTTTGGGTTTCAGATTCTCATGTAATTCCAACAATGCCTTTATTTGTTATCTAGAGCTACACGCCGTCTGCTGTGCAACAGATTAACGTCAACAGGGCAGCAGATTCCAGCCTCCTTAAGGCATCGTGCAGAAGTTTTATTATTGGAACATCTTCTCTCCTACAGAGGTGCGTTCACCGTTTAGTAACATGGACTATCGCTTTAACTGTAGAGCTTTTAACAGAGAGGGACATCTGCTAGCGAGGCTTCTTGTCTCTGCTAACATTCCTTAGCCACGTCTCCTGAAACATTCCTGTTTATGTGTGCCGGAAAAAAACAAAACAACGCTTTGCTGTTGCTGCTCTCCTGGCTGTTACAGCCGGGGTCGACCACGCTGCTCCTCAGGCCTTATAAGGACCATGACTCTGCAGAAACTGGACAAGTTACTTCCTGGTTGAACCCCTCTGTCAGGCTGAGACAGAAGGAGGTAAACAGTTTGGAAATCGGAGAGGCTCAGATGCATGGGATGATCGAGTCAAAGTTAGAAATGCCGAGGAGAAAAGTCTAAAGCCGTTACAAGCTTTCCTGATTTAACTGAGCTCATAAGTGTTTCGCTAAGACGGCGAGGAAACCTGTTGCTGCTCCTCACAGGTCCCACACATCCATTGGAAAGAGCTTCTTGCCTGTTTAGAAAACACAGAAAATCAGGTCTAATTTTAAATCAAAAGGCTCCAAAAGTTTGATTTAA